AACTTCATTATTTGTATGTGAATATCCAGGTTTCCTGGTACTATTTGTTGAAGAAACTGCCCTTTTACCATTGAGTGGTCTTGTCACACTTGTCAAAGATCATTTGAGCACATACTCAAGGGTTTATTTCCAGGCTCCCTATTCTATTTCATTGGCCTATCAATACTGTTTTGATTACCATTTCATAATATGTTTTTAAGGCAGTAAGTGTGAGTCCTCCAACTTTGTTATTTTTCAAAATTATTTTGGCTATTCAGGGTCCTTTGTGATTCCATATGAATTTTAGGATGATTTTTTTCTATTTCTGCAAAAACTTCCATTGAGATTTTGATAGGGATTGCGTTGAATCTGTAGATCACTTTGGGTGGTATGGACATTTTAGCATTATTAAGTCTTCTAATCCACAAACATGAAATGTATTTCCATTTATTTGTTTCTTTTTAAATTTCTTTCAACAATGTTCTATAGCTTTCAGTGTACTTGCATTTCATTTCCTTAAGTATATTCCTAAGTACTTTTTGATGTTATTGCAAATGCAGTTGTTTTCTTAATTTCCTTTTCCAATTGGTAATTGCTAGTATATAGAAATGCAACTGATTTTGGTGAGTTGATTTTATATCCTGCAACTTTGCTGAATTTATTAGTTCTAACAGGTTTGTGTGTGTGTGCATGTGTAATCTTTAGGGTTTTCTACATAAAAGATCATGTCATCTGCAAACAGATAATTTTACTTTTTCTCTTCCAACTTGGATGGCTTTTATTCCTTCTTTTTCTTGCTTGATTGCACTGGGTAGTACTGACAATACTATGTTGAATAGAAGTGGTGAAAGTGGGCATCCTTATCTTATTCTTGATCTTAGAGGAAAAGTTTTCAGTCTTTCACCATTGAGTATGGTATTAGCTATAGGCTTTTTGTATATTGGCTTTATTATGTTGGTGGTTTATTATGAAGGTAATTTCCTTCAGTTCCTATTTGGTTAAGTGTTTTTACATTAAAGTGTGTTAGATCTTGTCAAATACTTTTTCTGCATCAGTTGAGATGATTATGTGCTTTTTGTCCTTCAGTCTGTGAATTTGGTCTATTATATTGATTGATTTTCATATGTTGAAACATACTTGCCTTCCAGAAATAAATTTGGCTTGGTCATGATGTATAATCCTTTTAATGTGCTGTCGAATTTAGTTTGCTATCATTTTGTTGAGGATTTTTGCATTAATAGTCATCAGGGATATTAGTCTGTAGTTTTCTTATAGTGTCTTTATTTGGCTTTGGTATCAGGGTAATGCTATCCTCATAGAATGAATTTGGATGTGTTCCCTTCTGCTCAACTTTATGCAAGAGTTTGAGAAGAATAAGAGTTAATTCTTCTTTAAATGTTTGGTAGACTTCAGTAATATCAGCTGGTCTTGAGCTTTTCTTTGTTAGGAGAGATATATCCATCTATCTCTCTCTGTATATATCTCCTTGTCATTAGAAACTATAAAGAATATACATGATTTGGAAATCAGACTGTACCAAACAATGGCCAAAGAAGAATCATCCATTTTATGCCTTCTCTTTTAAAAAAATTTTTTTAACATCTTTATTGGAGTATAATTGCTTTACAATGGTGTGTTAGTTTCTGCTTTATAACAAAGTGAATCAGTTATACATATACATATGTCCCCATATCTCTTCACTCTTGGGTTTCCCTCCCTCCCACCCTCCCTATCCCACACCTCTAGGTGGACACAAAGCACCGAGCTGATCTCCCTGTGCCATGCGGCTGCTTCCCACTAGCTATCTATTTTACGTTTGGTAGTGTATATATGTCCATGACACTCTCTCATTTTGTCCCAGCTTACCCTTCCCCCTTCCCATATCCTCAAGTCTATTCTCTAGTAGCTCTGCGTATTTATTCCAGTCTTGCCCCTAGGTCCTTCATGACCTTTTTTTTTTTTTTTTTAGATTCCATATATATGTGTTAGCATACAGTATTTGTTTTTCTCTTTCTGACTTACTTCACTCTGTATGACACACTCTAGGTCCATCCACCTCACTACAAATAACTCAATTTCATTTCTTTTTATGGCTGAGTAATATCCCATTGTATATATGTGCCACATCTTCTTTATCCATTCATCTGTTGATGGACACTTAGGTTGCTTCCATGTCCTGGCTATTGTAAACAGAGCTGCAATGAACATTTTGGTATGTGACTCTTTTTGAATTATGGTTTTCTCAGGGTATATGCCCAGTAGTGGGATTGCTGGGTCATATGGTAGTTCTATTTTTAGTTTTTTAAGGAACGTCCATACTGTTCTCCATAGTGGCTGTATCAATTTACATTCCCACCAACAGTGCAAGAGGGTTCCCTTTTCTCCACACCCTCTCCAGAATGTATTGTTTGTAGATTTTTTGATATACTATTGGCTATAGTGTTTGTTGCTTGTCTCTTCAAATTATTTTTTACTTGTGCATTTCCTTGCATCTACTTTCCCTTCCATATAAATTCGAGACCCTTTTTTCACATACTATTATGCCAAGTCTCTGTGACCTGGCCAGAATACAGATATTCTGTGCCATGTTGTCTTGACTGACATTGCCCATTTGGTATACCTTACTTTCCCCTGATCACCACATCTCATTTACTGCTAGAGAAAATACTGTTGCTGGATTTTTCCTTTCCACCTGTCTCATGACAGTCCTGACCCACTTGCCCTAGTAAGGGAACACAATTCAGAGATCTTTTGAGAACCAAACTGCTAGCTATTTGAGACTCATCTTAAACTGATGAAATACCTGTAATACAGGTTTTTGAAACATGGCTTCTATTTTTTTCTTACAATCTTTAGTCTTTCCTGATGCTCTAGACCTAACATCAGAGAGCTGGGAGATCTGTTGGGAGGTTTTTGTTTACTGATTCAATCTCCTTACTGGTTATTGGTCTGTTCAGATTTTCCTTTTCTTCGTGATTTAGTTTTGGCAGGTTGTGTGTTTCTAGGAATTTTTCCATTTCTTCTAGGTTACCCAATTTGTTGGCATACAATTGTTCATACTATTCTTTCATAATCCTTTTTATTTCAGTAGCATTGGTTGAAATCATTTCTGACTTTAGTTATATTTTTTCTTTAACTAAGCGTTTCTGAATTTTACTGATCTTTAAAAAAAAAGCAACCCTTAGCTTTATTGACTTTTTCTATTTTTTTCTAGTCTCAATTTCATTAATTTCTGCTCTAATCTTTGTTATATCCATAAGATAGTAATTTTATGTTATGTTTTTTATCATAATTTTAAAAATTTTAAACATTTTTTAAAAAAGAGATGAATTTCCCTAGGGGAAGGAACAAGAGTGAGGAGAAGGGTCCTGAGAAAACTTCTGGAGATTGATCGATTTTCTTGATTGTGGTGATGGTTTCACAAATATAAACATATGTCAAAACTCATCAAATTGTACATTTTACATATGTATAGTTAATTGTATGTAATTATACCTTAATAAAGCTACCAAGTTGCAGATTTCTAAAAACAAGTCAAATACTTAAATTTGCGGGCATACGTTATTCCAAATGATGTTTTTTCTAAGTGTAATCTATTCAAAATTCCTTCACTTAAAAGTCAATATTTGAGGGGCTTCCCTGGTGGCGCAGTGGTTGAGAGTCCGCCTGCCAGTGCAGGGGATGTGGGTTCGTGCCCCGGTTTGGGAGGATCCCACATGCCGCGGAGCGGCTGGGCCCGTGAGCCATGGCCGCTGAGCCTGCGCATCCGGAGCCTGTGCTCCGCGGCGGGAGAGGCCACAACAGTGAGAGGCCCGCATACCGCAAAAAAAAAAAAAAAAAAAGTCAATATTTGATAGTATTTGTCTCTTGCACTTTGTGTGTTCCTGGTTCTCCAGTTTTGATCCTGATCTGCTATTCAATTCTGAGCCCGTCACTCTCAGTTTCCTTTGGTAGAGGCAGCACTACAAGGGACTGAAGTTCAACAGAGACATGCTCGCAACCATTTTTCAATTAGACTCTTTCATCATCATATTTTCAGATAGATATTCATTCCATCAAAGAAGCTTGTATCTATGAAATGATCTTTTTCTCTTAATTTTTAAAAGCAGATAGTGTTTATGACACTATTGCAGACACTTCATATGTTTAACTTTGGAGATTTATTTTTCAAGAGCTTTATTTATCAACAATAAAGCCAGCAATGATGTTACACTACCCCAGATGGCTTTAAGATGCTGTGTTGCTGAAATTGTACAGTTTGTCACAGATGTGACTACTTTTACACTAGTACTTTGAAAAATCTACAACCCCTCTTTGTTAAAGCAACTGAACCTAAAATACTAATATGTGCTCTATAATATATGAAAGATGTTTTACGACAGGCAGACCTATGGGCAATTTGACATTTTTCTCTTTGATTCTTAATTATTACCAACGTAATCATACCAGGTTCAATGTAATCACAAGATTCTTCCCTGTTTTTGCCTTCAAAACTAGAAATTCCCACTTTTTCATCTAATTGATTTCATTATATACTCCACCACCTTGTACACCTACAGCAACTCCAAATTCACCTAGTGGTTTCATCTCCAATTTAAATCTACTGGCTCCAATCATCCCTGTTGAAGACTATGGCTTCAACGTAATTTATTCAGCATTTTATTCAAAAGGTATTTATTGAACATCAAACTACATGCCAGGGCTCTATACCAGATACATGGTAGTGAATAAGGAAAAACATAATCACTCTCATGGAATTTATAGTCTAATTGGAAGACAGATATTGAACAAGCAATTATAAGATTAATGAGTGTAACTATAAAGGAAGTACAGAATGTTTGCTATGGGAACATTCCTTTTTCCTCTGGGCTTCAGGGGGCAAAACCACTAGGTTAAAAATGAGCATATATTCCTTCCAACTCCCTGCTCCTGGCAACCCACAGGAAAGATTCCACATAGGGAATATCGTGTCAAGAAGTAGAAACAAGCCCCTATGACTAATTTTTTTTTTTCCTTTTTAGGAAAGTAGAAGCATGCTTCCTAACAAGAGGCATTCTTCCGGCTTAGCTGCTGGCTGAGCAAGACTAGGTATTTATAACAATTCTCCTAGTTTTCTCTTGGTGGCTACAGCTGTCCCCCATATTTTATAAGCTATCCCTGTCTGGGAGATACCTAGAAACACCCTCAACAAAAGATCCCGTTCCCATGTTTTTAAACAATAGTTCAGAGAGTTGTTAGACCATATCTACAAATTGGTTTCATGAGAGCCTTAAGGAGAGTTTTTGTTTTCTTTTGTCTTAGATTTCTTGACATACCTGGGAGCTCTCAGAGAAAAGACTTTATTGACTTTAAGGCTATGTTTACAAGTCAACAGCTCAGAAATATTTTTGCTATGAAAACCATTTGGTGGCTCTACAAGCACAGGTAAGCTTGTCAGAGAGTAAGTAAATGAACAACTTAGGCATCTTCTGAAAGATCAGTGGGTCCAAATTCAACCCCAATGTCAACAGCAGCCGAAACAACAGAAAAAGAGAGTCACACCTGGTTAAAAATACAAAAGAGAGATAAGATGCTTTTCAAAAAGGCTAACCTAGGATTATCTTTCAACCAGGGCTAAACCAAATAGAAGATAAATTACATGTTTGCATGCAGAGCCCTATCGTATTCATGCAGACCCAGAGTCCAGGCCTGCTTAAGTGAGTTGCTTTCTCTCCATGTTTGTCACCCCACATCCCAGTTCACAGAGGAGAGGAGAGGAGTTTGGGTACCTGCCACTCAAGTCTTCCCCCAGCCCTCAGCTTCCTAACGTCCCTGGTGCTCAGGGGTGGATCTGTGAGACTAGTTCAGCATTTTGATTGAGTCTATAATTCTTCTGGCTGACAAGGACAAAAAACTGTGCCGGCAATAGACCTAGAATAATCAGGCAGCACATCTGTGTGAATATTAGCACCTTATGGTGGAAAGAGCCCTGAACCTTGGGAAAATCACGTAACCTCTCTGGGTCTCATTTTTTCCTTGTTTTAAAATGGGCTAGATTAGAAGCCTGCACATCTGACTCACTCGGGATACTTGTTAAATGTAGGTATTTCTGGCCCATCCTTGCAGATTCTGATAAGTGGTCTGGCATGAGGATGGGGGTGGGAGATAGGAGTTGGGCTAGGGATGGGAGTGTGGATTGAAATCTGTTTTCTAAAAACTCTGCTGGTAATTCTGCTGGGTGACCAGTCAAATTCTGTTGTAAATTTTTCAGGGATGATTTCAGAAAACCACAAATTTAATATTCCACAAGGAACACACTAGTATTGTACTATGTAAAGTATTACAGTCTGTGCTGAAAGACAATATGTGGTGCTCTTTCCTCCCATCTCACAAAGACTAATCTGAGTTGACCCCAAAGTTATAAGTAGTAGTAGTAGTAGTAGTAACAATAAGAGTAATAGTAATATTAAAACTTATTGCATGCCAGACACTGTCCTAAATACTTCATAGGTCTTCATACAATTATCTCAACAACCCTGTGAGATAGAGTATTACTATTATCCCCATTTGACAACTGAAGAAGCTAAGGCACAGAGAAGTCAAGTAACTTACTTATGGTAACACAGATAGCAAAATGGACCAGTTGGATTCAGGCTGGCTCAGAGGAACTTTCTGTCTGAAGAAACCCAAGTAGCTTCCCTGTAACATTTGGGGGCAGCATGGTTTTATGGAAAAAGCCAAGGCTTTGGTGTCAAGCACTTATTCAAATTCTGGTGCAATTACTCATTGCTTGTGTGGTCTCGAGTGACCTTACTAAAATACCATAGGCACTAAAATACCATAGGCTGGGTGGCTTAAACAACAGACATTTATTTCTCACAGATCTAAAGACTGGGAAATCTGAGATCAAGGTGCCAGCCAATTTGAGAGGCCTCTTCCTGGTTTGCAGAAGGCCATCTTCTTGCTGTACCCTCACATGGCTCAGAGAGAGAGGGCTCTGGTCTTTCCCTCTTCTTATATGGGCACTAATCCCATCATGGGGGCTCCACCCTCATGACTTCATCCAAACCTAATTATCTCCCAAAAGTACCCCCTTCAAATACTATCACATTGGGGGTTAAAGCTTCAACATAGGACTTTGAGAAGACACAACATTCAGTCCATAGCACAAAGTTTCAAATTTTTTAATCTGCAAAATATATATCACAGCTATTTGTAAGGTTTGAAAATAAAATGAAATAAAATTTTTATAAGGCCATAGCTCACTCTCATAATAAAACCAAAGTAAAACTTACAAAAATTTTATTGACTACATATCAGGCTCTGTTGACTAAAATCTAGAGAGTAATTACCATTTACTGTATACCATGTTTTCTAAACTGCATTTATGCATTGTACTCATTGAGTCCTTCATAACACCCTTATGAGGTAAGTGTTATTATCACTATTTTATAGATGAAGAAACTGAGAGGTAAAACATTTTCCTGAAGTCACAGCTCGTGAGTGGCAGAGCGGGGAATGTAACCACAGGGTGTGCTCTGAGTGCCTCTTCTGTTTAGACAGAAATATGTGAAATTCCTTATTTAAAATTTTCGTGAAATAAATCTAAATGGATATTTTTAGGACCTAAGCGTTCTGAGGTTACAAGAAATGTTTACAATGAGCCTCAGAAGGAGAGAATTCAGTTCTTTCTTCTTTATGATGACCTCATTTGCAGACTGAAAATCAGGATACATGGGGAGGGGGAATCAGGGAGATATTGGTCAAAGAATACACAGTTTCAGTTTCACAAGATGAGTAAATCCTAGAGATCTATTGCACAGTATAGTGCATATAGGTGATAATAATATACTATGTACTTAAAACTTTGTTAAGAGAGGAGATCTTATGTTAAATGTTCTTTAAAAAAAAAAGAGGGAGGAAGGAAGCTCAGAGGTGATGGTTATGGTTTTGGCATTGTTTACGGCGACAGTCTCATGTGTATACACTTTATTTCAAACTCACAAAAATGTGTGCATTACATATGTACAGCTTTTTTGTGTGTCAATCGTACCTCCCCCCGCCCCTCCCCAATCAAGAGACATGATCTTACAGTGGAGCAAAATGGCTAAAAAAGAACTTGGGGGCCATAGTCTCTGCTTTGCCCCTGTACCACACTCTACTCTTGACATCTATTACCCAAGGTCAACTTCAAAGGGAGAAAATATAGCTCTGAAATCATTAGCCTAAGGGCAACATTCTTTTCTAGCTCTAGAATTCTTTAGTGTATGAGCTGTCATCCAGCCCTTAGTTCTCTGTTTCTGATTCACCAGTGGAGTGCAGAAACATTTAATACTCTCTCCTTTGGAATAATTCTTCTGTGACCTTTTCACCTCCAGCCCAGCCTGTAGGCTGAACATCTCGGTTAAAGATAGAAAAGCTTCGTTTTCAGAGGAGATGATAAACAAACTGGGATTGAGTTTCCTTTTTAGGAAAGATTTTCTGGATTAAAAAAAGAAAGCGGTATTATTTTAATATTTTTAAAATGTGTTGGTTGTGAAAGTTTTGGAAAAAAATATATAGTATTGAAAGTTTCTGAAGAAACTGCATTGTAATCACAAAACCACACAACTGGTATTAGAAACAAAAGTACTGACAGAAAAGCCTCTTTTCCAACATAACCGGAAAAATGGATATAACCACTGAATCTCTATTTGACAGAATCCAAACACCCGGCTACTTAAGGTAACCACTGGAGAGTCTGGAGGTCAAGTCCAAGGAGGTGCCACAGAGAAACCACACTATTCATCCAGCCGGCGCAAGACAGTTAATCAATCACAAAGACGGAAAAATGAACAATGAGACTCTAGAATTTAAAGAAGTTAACCCCAGGAATCCTGGCTCTGTTGATGGAACGACCCCTCAAGTTAATATTGGACAGACCATACCATTATCTGAAGGGAGATAAGCAAAATATGTAGGGCTCTGGCACAGCTGCACTGAGCCACTTAAGGGAATAGCTCTTGGAGAAGGGTCCATGAGTAATGGCCTGGTATTAACATTTTGTGATAATTAAACAAGCATTGTTATTCACAATAATTGTGGCACAACACCAAGAAGTAATCAAAAATGTATCCATGTGGTTTTGTGTCTTAACCTTGCTCCTGACCTTATCTTATCTTTCCAATCTATAATTTTAATTTGGTCCAGCTTTCCTTGGCCATTTAGTTTCAATTTTATTTAATCCTTATATAAATAACCTTAAATCCCATGGAGAATCAGCAGATCACTAATTAATTAAATACTTATTAAGACAATGACAGCAAGAAATTTCTCTCTCTCTCTCCTCTTTTTTTTTTTTTTTTTTTTTTTTGCGGTACGCGGGCCTCTCACTGTTGCGGCCTCTCCCGCTGCAGAGCACAGGCTCTGGACGCACAGGCTCAGCGGCCATGGCTCACGGGCCCAGCCGCTCCGCCGGCATGTGGGATCCTCCCGGACCAGGGCACGAACCCGTGTTCCCTGCATCGGCAGGCGGACTCTCAACCACTGCGCCACCAGGGAAGCCCACTCTCCTCTCGTTTTCAAACAAAAATTGTTTGAGAGTCCAGTGGTCTCAGACCTAAAGTATTTGGCTTTACCCTTTGTTCAGGACTCCTGGAAAGCTGGGGTGCGCTATTGATCTACAATTAAGATGACAATTCCCCCTCCCTCCTCTTTTGCCCCACGCTTTGCATGTAGGAACTGAACCTTTGGGATTTTACAACGTGCCAGCACTCTAAAAAACTGTTAATATAACTGCCTTTTTGGTTGGCGGATTTGTAGTTACTGTAGCTAATCTGAGCTAAAAGATGAAGTAGAGATTTGTGCAAATTCAAACAAAACCTAGTATTATTTTGAAAAAAAAAAAAAGCAAACAACTCAGTTTCCATAATTACTTTCAAAGGACAACCATCAGAACAATATTCTTTCCCCCAAAGTGGGAAATTTTAAAAAATATATATTTTAAAGGATTTTGCAACCGCAAAACAGACAAAAGTCCCTCCACTTAAAATGTGAGGTGAGGGCTTCCCTGGTGGCCCAGTGATTAAGAATCCGCCTGCCAATGCAGGGGACACGGGTTTGAGCCCTGGTCTGGGAAGATACCCGATGCTGCAGAGCAACTAAGCCCGTGCGCCACAACTACTGAGCCTGTGCTCTAGAGCCCGTGTGCCACAACTACTGAAGCCTGCGTACCTAGAGCCCGTGCTCCGCAACAAGAGAAGCCACCGCAGGGAGAAGCCCACGCACCACAATGAAGAGTAGCCCCCGCTCGCCACAACTAGAGAAAGCCCGCGCGCAGCAACAAAGACCCAACGCAGCCTAAATAAATAAATAAATTTAAAATGTGAGGTTAATAAACTCCAGAAATCTTGCTAAACTAATGAATGAGACCTGTTTCCCGAGCGCTTCCTGTTGTAGTTGAGGGAAGAAGTGCCTTTCCCCACCCCTCCCACACCCTGAGCTGGAGCAAGAGGCCTGGTGAGAGGCCACCAAAGGGAGGGGTTTATCCCTTCCCAGTGGGCCTGGGTACAATGAGTGCTACTGGGACAGCATGCCAGTTGAGTGCAAGCCTGGCTGGAATTCCCAAAAAAGAGGCACAGCCAGGGTGGGGCAGAAGCATAGGTCTCCAAATTCATAGCTGCTATCAGTTTCCCAAACAGTTTTTAGAATCCACAGGGCTGGAAGTGGAATAGTTATGCTCAGTGCGGTTTGGTTTGCAAATCTGGGAAGGGAGCCAGATAAGAGCTTTCTCCCATGATGCTGGAGATGATGTGTGCTCTCCAGAGACGCGAAGTTTCAGACTCATACAACTGGGCCTTTGGAGATCATCCAGTGAATCCATCCACTCATTTTACAGAACGGGCAGTGGAGGTGCAAAATGTTAAGCAATTTGTCCAAGGTCATCATATAGTTGTTCTCTGATAGAGCAAGGACTCGAACCCAGTGTTTTCTTCCAACTCATTCGTATTTGATAAACCAAGTAGATAGTATCAATACATCAAAACTGTCAGATATAATTTGAAGATATATAAAACATGGACTTTGGTATAGTATATATATAATAATTTTAATTGTCATAAAATATAAATAACAAAATTTTTATCTTAACCATTTTTAAGTGTACAGTTCAATGGTATTAAGTACATTCACATTCATATATATATATTATAATGCCAGGTATCTACATGGAAATGGAAAAGCTCAGTCAAAAATATTTTTCCTTTATCAATCAATTATTGAATGGACACATACTGTGTGACGAATACCATGTTAGTATCAGACACACTCTGGGTCCTCAGGAGCTTAAAATTTATTTAGGCAACAAGATGCATAAATAAGAGGCTATAACTAAACATAAAAGGCAGTGTGATGCTTTTTTTTTTTGGCTGCATATATTGTGGGATCTCAGTCTCCTGACCAGGAATTGAACCCAGGCCATGGCAGTGAAAGTGCTGAATCCTAACCACTAGACCACCAGGGAACTCCAAAAGGCATTATGATACATTTTAAATGAATGGTACTGACAATAAGAGTTTAGGATCCAAAGAACCCGAATCATTATGGGATGAGTAGTCAAGAAAAGCTTCAAAGAGAAGATGGACTTGAGCCACATTAATAAAAAGGGAGAAGTCACAAGGAGACACTCCAGAAGAAAGAACAGAGGGACCAAAGGTATGGGGGTGTGCTGTAAAAGATTTTTTGACGAAAAGTGAATCAAAAGGTCTGAGAATAGCAAAAGAGTAGTTTGCTACCAGACTCAAATGGCCAATTTTATCCAGGAGGCAATTGGGAGCCGTTGAAGACTCTTGAACAACATGATTATAACAGCACTATGTAATGAAAAGCGTAGGATAGACTGAAGGAGAAAGAGCTGGATGAGTGAGGCCAATTAGGAGGCCATTAAAAAAGTTCAAGTACAGAGAAGAGAAGGAGTGGTAAGGTTGGGATCTGGTACCATACATATGTGAAATATTGCGAAGGAAGAATCAACAGAGCTTGTTAATCAGTTAGATATTGAACATGGGGATGAGAGGCAAGAATCCTAGGTTCAAGCTAGAGTGACCAGAATTGTGTTACCAATTGAATGGATTGAGTAAGTCAAGAGAGGGAGATAACCTTAAAGGGAAGTTCAGTTTTAGATATGCTGAAATGGAAACAATAGAAAGACATCCAAGTAGAAAAGAGAAAGTACTGAGACAAATGTATAGAGTTGCACACTTGCAAGGTACTATTATTCAAACAAATTTTAAAGAAATTCTTTAAATTTTCACCTGCATCTTTGGGCACAAAGTCTTGATCTCTTCAACTTAAACAACTGAAATGGGAATGATTAAGCTGATCACAATGTATGATATAATCTTCATACAGACGTGTAAAGACTGTAACAGCAAATGTCAGGTTCACTTTATAATAATTGAGAAAGAACTGGAGACAGAAAAGCCTTTTAATATTGTATTCAGTTGAGAATAACCCTATGGAAAATTGAAAATACATCCAAAAACTTTAATATTGGTTTACATTAAGCAGCTAGGTTCAAGCATTTCAACATGATGTTACTGCTGTGAAATAAATTTAGAAAAATCAAGAGAAAATACTGTGTAAAACAGTTTTGTACTAACAGTGCTTGGATCAGAGCAAAAAAAGTTTTTATTGTTTATAAAATTATTTAATTTGCCATCATTCTGACCTAGAAATTTTGATCCCTAGCACAGAGAGCATTGTTAACTACAGAGTAAACAGAAACCTGTATTTTTCTCCTTTCTTTCTTCTGCAGGGTGGATTTAACCACTAGGCACAGTGCTTAGGGCCCATGATATTTGTAAAAAGCTCATGAAATTTTATTAAATTTTGTCTAAGAAAGAAAAAAGTCAAAGTATATAAATTACATCGAAAATAATTTAAAATATTGATATTATAGTGGAAGGGGCCCACAAAGTCAAAAGTGCCTAGGGCCCACAAAAATCATACTGTGGCCTGCCTGCCGTACTTAGATCTGGGTCTCTGGTCTAACCATAAACCATTGCTTTTCATACTATTCTGCACATACTTATGAATTCTGTCAGCCTGTTATTTTCTTTTTATTAAAGTTAAATATGTCCATAATTTAAAGAATCAGTTAGTTCTACAAAGTTTGCAAAGACAGATGTCAGTCTCCAACTGCTTTTCTCCATATCCCCTTTCTCAGAAGCATCTACTTTGAACTTTTAAAGCTACTCTTCTGATATTACCTCCAAATCTCTGTCACACACTTGTAATATTCCTTCTTGTTTTTTTCAGGTTTAGATATTATCTATGGACTTCCTGTCATGAAGATGAAGATTTAAATATCTTGTCTCCTCCCCTCTTCCCGAACCCAGTCATAAACACTTCTCTGCTGTTCATCTTCCTGACTGAGATATACTGTAAGTTTAATTCACTCAATGTTCAGGGTTAACCTTATTATGACTCTGGAGGCTATTCGGTATTGAGTCATCTAGTAAACATCTATGATTACTTTTCCTTTACTGCACAACTTGTAGTTTTCCCTCAGTTAAGAATTGTTGTTTTCTCATTTACCTAGTTTTCTAGGTACATGCTTACCATTTCTTGGTATACTTGTCTACCAGATGTTTAAATATCTTCTCAGTATATTTCTTTAGGTTGAGTATTATATCAATTTTATTTTCTTAAGCTTCTTCTGGAGCATTTGGGCTTGTATGAGTCCAGATGGGTTGCCCCCATGCTTGGTGCATGATTCTGGGTAAATATGAGAATTCCTTTGCATTCATCCTGTGTTGGATCTCATTTATTCTGAAAAGCATGTCTTCTTTTTTCTTGATCTACTCCATTGTTTGGGTTGTACATATCCTTCAGTAACTCTCTGAGAAAAAGTATGTGTGTGTGGAATGAAGGTAAAGTTTTTCAGTGAAAGATTTTTCTCCTCACAACTTAGTTGTAAAGCTGGCCAGACATTTAATATTAGCTAAAAATCATTTCCCTTCGGAATTTGGAATGCATTGCTCCATTTTCTTCTAACTTCCTGTGTTGCTGTTGAGAAGTTCAGAGTCATTTTGGTTCCTGTTACTTTGTATGTGACCTTGCCCCCACTCCCTTCTCTCTGGAAACTTGTAGGATCTTCTCTCTGTCTTCTGTGCTCTGAAATATCTCTATGATGTATCTTGGTGGGGGCCTATTTTCATTGCTGGACACTCAGTAAGCCCTTTCACACTAGAAATATATATCCAGCAATTTTCAGAAACCTTAAATTATTTCATTGATGAAATAATTGTTTTCTCTAGTCTCTCTTCGAGGAACTTCTGGACTTGTCCTTTAATTTGCTTATGTTTTCCCTCTTATTTTTCAAGTTTTTTTAATTTTTGTTTTCTTATTGCAAGATTTCTTCTATATTCTATTCCAATATACCTATTGAGTTTTCATTTTTAGAACAATGTTTACATTTTTTTGTTGTTGTTCTCTGTAACTCTGTTTTTTTTGGAGCTTCCTATTCTTGTTTCGTTAATTCAGAAGCTTCTACTCTCTTCTGTAGATATTAATAGTAATAAAAAAATTTTTTTCCTTGCCATCCTAATCATTGTTTACTTCAAGTTGCCTTTATCTATTTATATATTTTATTCCGATATTTATGTGAGAGGTTATCCTCAGATGTCTGATAATTCTAAATTGTTTGTTAGTGCATGATTAAGGGTGTTCTAATAAAAAGCTGAGTGAAACTCCCAGTTCATGGATGACTTTCATTTTTTTCTGTAGGTAGGTGATGTGGGTCATCTGTTTGTTTTGGAACTTCTATTGTCTGCTTTTAAGTGATTCTTCTTGGGTGTTCAGATTCCCCATTGAATGTACTTACATTATCTATATCCCCATGTGGAGAATATAGACCCACTGCCTGTATTCTGAGAGCTGCACTGGGAGCAGAGGCTGGAAATATAAGCTTCGAATATGCATACTTAATCCTCCCTTCGTTGAGTATAGTTCCCTTACCTTTGGCTTGGTTTCCCTGATCCAGAGAAAACATTCTGATCTTCTGCTGGGGTTGGGGAGAGGCAGTTGCCCAGCTGTTTAGGGAGGGCTGAGGAACTGAGGGATCTTTTTCCTACAACCAATCCTTTTTATTTTCTCCCCCATCACTCTCCTCTTTTAGGGTTCCTGGTGCCATCACTTCCTGGGTGTGGGGCTGACATTTCAGTGGAAATTAGATTTATTCTCAGCCTCCCTCCACTGCTGACTTAATTAGTCTTTTTCAGGTCTGCAAAGTCAGTTTCCACTTGACCATATACTTTCTTGCTTCAAAATTGTTGTCGTCATAGTCATCTTTATCTTGTAGTCTTTTTTTTTTTTTTGCCGTATGATGGCCTCTCACTGTTGTGGCCTCTCCCGTTGCGGAACACAGGCTCCGGATGCGCAGGCTCAGCGGCCATGGCTCACGGGCCCAGCCGCTCCGCGGCATGTGGGATCTTCCCAGACCGGGGCACGAACCCGTGTCCCCTGCATCGGCAGGCGGACTTTCAACCACTGCGCCACCAGGGAAGCCCTAGCTTGTAGTCTTATGCCTTAAAATATGTCTCTTAGGTTTAGTTTCAGTGGAGTTTTGGAAGAAGCAAGATTAGATGATGTTTTTAATCTCCATCTTTATCTTGAAGCCACTGAAACTGAGTTTTTGACTATATAGAGGTTGAAGTATTCAGCATTATACAAACACAGTGACATATGATGTTTCTGATAATACTTTATAAAGATCTATGATTAGGGTTTCCCTGGTGGCGCAGTGGTTGAGAGTCCGCCTGCTGATGGAGGGGACGTGGGTTCGTGCCTGCTGCGGAGTGGCTGGGCCCGTGAGCCATGGCTGCTGAGCCTGCGCGTCCGGAGCCTGTGCTCTGCAACGGGAGAGGCCACAACAGTGAGAGGTCTGCGTACCGCAGGAAAAAAAAAAAAAAAAAAAAATCTACGATTGTACTTAGCAGTCAACACAATTACCTGTTAGCCCAGTGTTTTTCAAACTTGAGTAATGTTCTAACCCTATTTAAGGAAAAATACAATCTATAGACTCTCACTGAGTTACATTATTTTAATTATAATATTACTTAAATGTGTATTTAAATGTAAATATAGACAATTTATGCTTACAGCTCTTGTGCATTTATTTAAGCAAAAACAAACAAACAAAAAACACCACCCCTAACTTAATACAAGAAAGTCACATATTTAATTCAAATTAACGACATAAATGTAATGTAAGGTCATTTTAGTGGAAATAAATTGCAACTCTAAATATAAATACGGTACTTATCTCTATGTCCACCATCCACATACTACCATGTATTGTGTGAGAAACAAATTTGCCCATTTCTCTTAATTTGAAATACAGGGAAACCTTTTTTTCAGATAGCAAGAGTCGTTATCATATAGGCATCATTTAGCAAGAATGTAACCTTGACCTACTGAGCCTGCATCTGTTCTTTTTATATTAGTCTCTAACAAATAAAATAGTACTTCATGATGCCAAGTGGATCATAAATGTGAACAAAAACTTGGCCCTTATTTTAATTTAGAAGCATTCTCTAAAGAAGGCTCTGCCTGCACATGTGAGTTGACCAATGACTCCTTGAGGCCCTTAGATCTCTGGGATGCCTCCTTGGTGGAGGTGACTACTGTGTCAAAGCAGGGGCACAGTGCGTACCTGAGTAGAATTGCTTTTCTTTGCAAAGAACAGACACATGAATAAAGATGCTTATTGGAGGACAGATACAGTTGATGCGGTGACATAATTTCATTCTAGTGCAGGCAGCCAGTAGTTTGAGATCTGTGGTGACTGTAACTACACTAAAAACCAGTTTGTCCTAATTTTGTAAAATAGTTTATTAAAATAATCAATACTTAAAATTGTCTGCACATTACCAATAAACTGCCCAAATATTTTACCCTGTTACAGTGATTGGATCTTTGAGTCCTTCTTCAGGTCCACATGGCCGGAAATGCGCAACAATCACCAAGGAGGCACTGACCTGTGCATCTGCGGCCCCTGCTGGTTCTCCAGAGGGAGAAGTCCGCTGACTTCCGGGCACACACAACACAGGATGGGGAAACTGATGCAGTAATATGTCTTTTAAAAGCAGGGTGAGAACATGGAAGAATTTGGTAACCGCTTGAAAACTTTAAGAGAGTTTTCAAGATGCAAAAAAAATGGTTACTAAAGGAGGGCCAGTTGGTTAACATCACAACTTGGTCAGGCTCGGGTTTAAGTCTTCCCACAATACAGAGAGGCCGTTGCCCAGAGGGAGGAGTCTTGGAAAGAAGGGCCGTGGAGACAGCTTGGGCTGTAAAGCAGGTCCCTTTTGAATCAGTCAGCTGTGCACTTTAACGTTTGCCCCCGAGAGGGTCATCAGGAACACGGACCTCACCTCATCAAGCCTTCCTGTTGCGTTGGAACCGGAGGAGCACAGCCCAGGCTGGATTCTCAATGCCAGAGGGGTGTATCTATTTGTAAGTGGACCCAAGGGTACATCCAGGAACCTGAACTCTGGCCCTGGGCAAGGAAGCAGGCAGAGCTAGGCTGAGGGTTACAGCTCTTGCCAGACAGGCTGATTTAGGACACATTCCAGCTGCAATATCCAACTGGAGTTTAAGGTGGGGGAACAAATGCACAATGTAGGCATATAAAATGTATGACCATGGCCTGGAAATCTAGATGGTGATCCCCATCCTTACCAGGCTAAGGCAGTGGATGTATCTGGTTTGGCATGTCTAGCGTTGTCCACAGACAACTGAGGGGGTTAAGCAGGACTTCAACAAAAGGAAGCGTTCCTCCTGCAACCTACCACCACACACACACATCCTACGCTTTCTTACCCTCAGGCCTTCACTTAGGTCTCCTCTTTACCTGGTTAAATTTTTTTTTTTTTGCAGTACGCGGGTCTCTCACTGTTGTGGCTTCTCCCGTTGCGGAGCACAGGCTTCAGACGCGCAGGCTCAGCGGCCATGGCTCACGGGCCTAGCCATTCCGCGGCATGTGGGATCCTCCCGGACGGAGGCACGAACCTGTGTTCCCTGCACCGGCAGGCGGACTCTCAACCACTGCGCCACCAGGGAAGACCCTTTTTTTTTTTTTAAAGAAGATGTTGGGGGTAGGAGTTTATTAATTAATTAATTAATTTTTGCTGTGTTGCGTCTTCGTTTCTGTGCGAGGGCTTTCTCTAGTTGTGGCAAGCGGGGGCCACTCTTCATCGCGGTCTGCGGGCCTCTCACTATCGCGGCCTCTCGTTGCGGAGGAGAAGCTCCAGACGCGCAGGCTCAGTAGTTGTGGCTCACGGGCCTAGTTGCTCCGTGGCATGTGGGATTCTCCCAGACCAGGGCTCGAACCCGTGTGTCCCCTGCATTGGCAGGCAGATTCTCAACCACTGCGCCACCAGGGAAGCCCTACCTGGTTAATTTTTATATTACACTGGGCTCGTTCAGTCATAGTTGATAGAATTCCAACATAGGTTAACAGTCAGAAAAAAGGGAGCTATAAAAAGGGCACTGCCTTCCAGGGACTCTTATATCCTCAAGTCTCTTTTTCCGTATTTATTCAGCTCCTGGTGTGATGCTTTCATTTTCTCCTCTGTAGGTATAGAACTCTAGCTAGCCATAGGAGCAGGAGATGGGTGTGGAGGGATTCCATCTTATGCTACTCCAGTTCACTAATCCAAAGAGAAAAAAGAGAAGTTTCCCTTTCTGTGTCACTGTGAAAACTCCTCTGGAAGGACTCAGATGGGCCTAGCCTGGATCTCCCATCCTCTCTTCCGGTTAATCACTATCACTGGGGTTGAGGCCTATGATTGGCTGTTTCCAAGTCATAAGCCCACCCCAAGGCCAGATGGAGAAGTGATTGACAGCCCCACAAAATTGGATTGGCGCAGGAGAAGAGCAATTACCTAAAGGAAGAGGTAACATTCCTTCCAAAAGAATAGAAAAGATGCTGGGCAGAGGCAAGACAATAGATGTCCTTTATGATCCCTGTGATCTCTTAAGGCTCAGCTCAGGTGTCACTTCTTGATACCCCTCTGTCCCTGTCTCCTCCTATTGGGTTACATGTTCCTCTCCAGGCTCATGTTACATCTTGGCTGTACTGGTGCACCCATATTAATTTATAGTTGTCCATCTAAGTGTTGGTCTCTCTCACTAGACAGGAGCTTTCTGAAGAGAGCTACTGTGGCTTACACCCAGCCCCTCAGCAGATAATGGGAGCTCCAGGAATGTTTTCAAAAAAAATAAGAAATGAAGATGATTACAAATGGCACCAAATCCTCTTAAATTAAGAGAAAGAGATAGGAACAAAATAAAAGTTTAAAAGTACGAAACTCTGTGATAAATAGTTTTCATTAAGTAATTCATTTGATTTTCACAACAGCATTCGAGGGAGATATTCTTTCTGTTTCACAGACAGGAAGTTGAAGGTTAAGGTCCACAAGGTCATATAGCTGAGAACCATCAATATAATAATTAGCACTTAGGTAACTTAAATCCAGCCTGTTATCTTTCAGCTACATTATCTTCTGCCCTCCTCCTTCTTCAGGTTAAGAATGAACTTACATAACACAGCGATGCTCTTTTCCCTTCTTAGTAATTTGGACATTTTCTGCCAATAGGTTGTTTTTTACCTAAATGTACTCCTTAGTCAGTTTTGCATCTTTCATTTGTTTCTTTACCCACAAAATTAGACGGTTGAAGGAGAGACTCTGTAAAATTCCTGCGAGTGCCAACATGATAAAATTATGCAAAGTAAATGAAACCAAGTAAAAGTAACACGGATGCTAACGCCAGTTTTCTGGTTGCCAGTGGGCAGGCACACCTGAAGGAGTTGTTCTGTGTTTACACCCTCTACTCTCTGCTCCTAGCTCTTCTGTTTCAGAGCCTCCTTTATTGTATCCTTTTGTATCAGTTGCTCTTTTCTCCCCAACAGCTTAGTCC